GTCATCTTCAGCTAAGACAATTTTATTTTTCTAACAGGGTGGTTGGCCTTTGGAATGGGTTGCCTTTGGATGTTGTAGAGATAGTAAATTTAAGTGAGTTTAATAGAAAACTTAATAATTATATGAATAATAAGGGCTGGCTTTAAGATTTTTTTAAAAGTTATTTTAATTTAGTTTGGAGGATGGAACAGCCGAGATGGACCGATAGGTCCCATGATGTGCCAAAACATGTTAGGTTAATATGAGAGACACTTCCTGTTACTTAATGTAGCTAGAATGGACACAGTATGAAAGGCACTTGTAGTTAATGTATTTAGAACACCCACAATATATGGCACTTTCTCGTACATAATATAGTTAGAACAGAAATAATATTAAAGACATTGTCTGGCTATTAATGTATTTAGAACAGCCACAATAGGACAGACGTTATAAATAATCACAGTATGAATGCTAGTTTCTGGTACTTAAATCATCTTTTTACAGAAACAATATGAGGTACATCTTCTGGTTCTTAATGTTGTTATTACAGACACAGTTTGAATGCTAGTTTTGGGTACCTAATGTACTTAGGACAAACACAATATGAAAGACACTCTCTCGAACATAATGTAGAAAGAATAGACACAATGGAAGGCACTTTCTAGTACTTAGTCTATTTAGAACACACTCAGTACATTGTACTTGAGGTAGTTAGATCAGTTATAATATTAATGACATTTTCTGGTACTTAATGTAGTTAGAACATTCATTCTTCTTTTACTTTCGCTCAGTTCTTATTAAACATTACTTTCTAGCACTTGCTATTGTTAATAGGGAGGTCACTCTATGGAATAGCATGCCTTTTGGTGTTCTTTAGCCCATTTATTATGAAATTTAGGACACCAATGCTTCTCTTCTAGTGTCAGTAACTTGCATGAATTAAATCTGTTGGTCTTGTTTGTCACATTTCTAATCTATGAGTAGTTTTTAGATATGGAGTTATTAAGTTGATTAATTAATTGTAACTAACTTTAAAAATATTCTTTTTCAAAATATTTGCAGGTTCTAATGGTTCATTAGAACATATAACGTTTGCTAACATCTGTTAGATTGTAAACATTTTATCATTCATGTTTCATCATTCCCTACCACTTGTTAGCATCATTGCATTGATTTCAAGTGTGAAGTCACCAGTTAATATAGGCCTTCACATTATTTACTTGCTATTTATTTTTACTTAAGAATGTATATAACAAGTGAACATTTGTTAAAGCTGCTAATTTCATTGATTCTTCACACAGATTTCTTTTTGTGGATGAAAGTTTTTTGAGGTGTAGTTCAAATTTTTTTCTAAACTGATTTAATTTAGATTTGAAAACAGCAGTATATTGAATTATTAAATATTCACATTTTCCTTATGTAGCAGATGGAAGTGAATCTGGACAGAATGGCAAAACATCTGCTACTGTAGCTCCTCCTGATACACCTCGCTCCACTATTGTCATTGCACGCCCTTTAGGAATAGAACGTTATGGAGAAGAAAGTCACATAGAGGGCTCTGACAATGGACATTCCATGTCTTCTGAAGGTAGAATAATTACAATTCATATGAACAGCAAAACCAAATATTTAACTATACAAGTATTTTATATAAACCACACACCAGTTATTTAAATTAATGTGTAATCTTTATAAAAAGTTAGTTAGAAAACAGGTATGTACATAAACGATAGATACGTACTGATATAAAGAAAATCAAGAGAGAATGTATTCAGACAGTTTATTTACAATATTTGTTAGTTTTATACAGATATTATTATTCTTTCCATTAGTGTTAGTTTCCTTTCAGGTTTATTCAGATGATACATTCTTCCTGCTGTTCTTTTTGTTAAGTTTCTGTTTCATATTTATTTAAAGGGGTTTATCCTGTCTCCTCTGCTTGCACTTAGTTTTAAATTAATTGGTAATCAGTTAGTTTTAGTAATTTGTGTAAAGAAACCACTAGCTTTTGGTAGGGGAATAATATTGTATTAATACAGCTGTGGTAAAGGAATAACATGCTGTTAATGCAGTTTTTATACTAGAGTAAATGATACCGTAGCTGTGGAATGAGAATAATTTAGTGGTGATTATACAGTCATGGTAAGGGAGTCGCATGATTTTAATACAGCTATAATGTGGGAGTAACATTGTGTTAATACAGCTGTGATATGGGAGTAATATGGTCTTAATATAGCTGTGTTATGGGAGTAATATTGTATTAATATAGCTGTGGTATGGGAGTAATATTGTATTAATAGAGCTGCAATATGGGAGTAATATGGTCTTAATATAGCTGTGGTATGGGAGTAACATTGTATTAATAGAGCTGCGATATGGGAGTAATATGGTCTTAATATAGCTGTGATGTGCGAGTAATACTATTTTAATGCAGATGTGGTATGAGAGTAATATTGAGTTAGTACAACTGTGGGATGGAGTAATATTGTGTTAACAAAGCTGTGATATGGGAGTAATATGTTCTTTATATAGCTCTGGTATGGGAGTAATATTGTGTAAATATAGCTGTGTTATGGGAGTAATATTGTATTAATATAGCTGTGGTATGGGAGTAATATTGTATTAATAGAGCTGCAATATGGGAGTAATATGGTCTTAATATAGCTGTGGTATGGGAGTAACATTATATTAATAGAGCTGTGGTATGGGAGTAACATTGTATTAATAGAGCTGTGGTATGGAAGTAACATTGTATTAATATAGCTGTGGTATGGGAGTAATATTGTATTAATATAGCTGTGGTATGGGAGTAATATTGTGTTAATACAGCTGTGATATGGGAGTAATATGGTCTTAATATAGCTGTAATGTGGGAGTAATACTATTTTAATGCAGATGTGATATGAGAGTAATATTGAGTTGGTACAACTGTGGGATGGAGTAATATTGTGTTAACAAAGCTGTGATATGGGAGTAATATGTTCTTTATATAGCTCTGGTATGGGAGTAATATGGTCTTAATATAGCTGTGATGTGGGAGTAATACTATTTTAATGCAGATGTGGTATGAGAGTAATATTGAGTTAGTACAACTGTGGGATGGAGTATTATTGTGTTAACAAAGCTGTGTTACAAGAATAATATGATGCTAATACAGCTGTGTTGTGGGAGTAATATTATGTTAATAAACCTGTGATATGGGAATAATATTGTGTTACTACAGCCGTTGTATTTGAGAATTATGTTTTTATCATACTAGGAATATGTTAATTGGTATTACTGAAACTTTAAGAACTATTTTTATACTTTTCTTGTCAATAAATTTTATGTTATAAAAATATAGTGGCTTATCATTTACCTATGTGTAATGTTGGGAGGACTGAAGGATAACACATTGCAACACATGTAACAGTGTAAAATTGTTCATGTTTACATGGCAAAATATGGCTAAAGAAAGTTGAATATATAAAACAGTAAAAATTCTATAAGGGTTTTTATTGTTTTATATTGAGACTTTTTGAACCTTCATGTTTTTCTGACATCATGAAAATTAAATATAGTATCCTTTCTTATCCTCACATTTCAAATAATGTCCTGATAATTTTTTATCTTCAACACTACATGTAGTTTTGTACTGTTGTTTTTTACAACAATGTAGGTGTTACTTGAAAAATGAAAGTCAGGATTTTTTTTATGGACTTCAAATAAGATACTGTATGTATGGATATAAGTGATGGGATGAATTATGGTGTATTAAACTTAATGAACTGTAAAATAAAGAGGACACTGATTTTTCTGTTGAAGATGACAGTATAATAACTGGATAAGTGGAACACTGTTCTGTTGTTGAATTGTAGTAACTGGATAAGGAAAGTATTGTTTTTTTTCTGTTGATGACATTGTAATCATTGGATAAAAAAAAGCATTGTTCTATTATTGAAAATATAACCACTAAATAAAGAGAGCATTGTTTTGTTGTTGAATTGTAGTAATGGGATAAGGAAATCAGTATTTTCTTCTGGTGATGGCATTGTAATCACTGGATAAAGAAAACATTGTTCTGTTGTTGAAATTGTAGCCACTGAATAAGGAAACATTGCATCCGATATGGTCTTACCTCTACTGTCGCAAAGCTATCTCAATCTTCTTTCTGCTCTCTAAGCATCGCTAACAAATTTTCATGCTTACTGCACCAGTCTATATATCCCACCAATTTCGTGCCACTATCGAACATGAACATAGCATGTGACTACTCTCCACCTGTATTGGTTCAGCTAGCTTCTTCTGCTATTCCTGTTCAATCCTTACTTTCTCGATTGGCACTACATCATCTAGGAGAGTGTTTTTTGTGTGTGGCTACCATTTCTGATTGAGCTTCTTTGCTATTTAAAAAACTTTTTCTTGTTCAACACTTCTCAATTTCTGTGTTTGCATTCAGCTGTTGTAACAATGTTTTTTTTCATTTGTTTTTTGTTCCCGAATTCTAAATGAACTTAGTATGAATTCCAGGTTCAATGTATCAAATATGGAAGCTCCATTTACTGATAACAATGCTACTGGTACAACTTCCCAGGACTGGGGTTTGATTTTATCTGCAGAGGAGGTAAAGGCCTTAATTTGCAGGGAGATAGATTCATATGTTCAGCTGGTGATTTCTTCTTCTTTTCAACCTGACGATGTTTCTGAGGAAGAATACAATCAAAGAGAATACAATTTGGACTCTCATTTTCTGGCACCTTCTTATTTTGGACAGTCACAATCTACATCTCTTCAAGAGATTTTGCCTTCCACCCCTTTTTACAGCTTGATAATCAGGTATGTTGTATATTACATGTTTCCGCTATTGCCTATGATACCTCCTCTTCCTTACTGGATGAAAATCCTTCTTCTGAATTTTATATTTTACCCCCTTCACTCAACATTAAGGTTCATGCTCAAATATTTTCATGCCAACTTTAGTTTGGTGCTGTTCACCATTGCTTGTCGGACTAGCATGCTTTAGCATAATATCACTTCAGATCCATATTTAGATTCTCAAGAATTGAATCCTTTACTTCCCCCTTTTGGGTTCTATTCTGGGAGCAACTGTTCATTTTAATCAAGCTCAATTATCAAGGATTGGCCTTTCCCTCTCCTCCCTCTTACATTACCTTTCTTCCCTCCAACTGTTGTAAGAGGCCTTTTGTCTCTCCCCTGTACTTTTTTCAGATAAACTCAGGTCCCTCCTTTGGTCCACTATGGCTCATTTATTGGCCTCTGCCCTTTCCCTTAATACCTGGCTCATGTGCTGTTGGGACTTGTTGGGGAGAGGTGTATTACATGCAGGGGTCCTGTGGGATCTGCATCAGGTCCCCCTTCCTACACCATACCATATTTGGGAAGCATCTTGATTCCTTAGAATACAGGATTGATGTGGCTGGATTGCATACATTTATCTCATCCCCCTCTTCCTCCCATGAATCGCAAATCCTCCTCCTTTTTTGCCCTTGCCTTCCTCCCAGCACTCCTGGTACTGTCCTCTCTATTCTTGCACCTGGGATGATCAACGGCAGTATTATAGGTGATGTTACGGAGGTTTCCAGACCTATGGGGACCAGATTGCTCCACATTTATGCCATATGTTAGCATTTCACGACAGATCCATGGGTTCTTCGGGTTCTGTCAGGAGGTCTCTGCTTTCAGTTCTGATCCTACCATCCCTTTCCTATTCTCCTATTTCCTTCCCATGACCACGGGATCCTACATCTCTTAGTCATCTTACCAAGGCTGTCCACAGCCATGTGCCCTATACAACTGGGATTTTATTCCTCTCTCTCTTTGTGGTTCTCAAGAAGACAAGAATTGGAGACCTAGCATTGATCTGTCCCAGTTGAATTCCTTTCCAAACCCCCCATACTCCACTATGGAGCCCTATCGTTCACTTCAGTGGGTGTTTTACCTGGAACTCCATATGACCAAGTTCGATGTGACGGACTCCTATTTTCACATTGCCATTGCTCCCAAGTCACATCATTATTTTTGGTTCATCCACAAAGTTCAGGTGTTCCAATTCCTGGCCCTGCCTTTCAGATTAACCTCAGCTCCTTATGTGTTTTGTTAGGTGTTACGAACATTTGCCCGACATCTACACTTGATGGGTCTTCACACTCATCATTACATGGATGACTGGCTCCTGCTCACTTCTTCCCATTCACAGTCCGGATACTACACCCTTCAATCAGTGGAACTTCTACTCGGATCCCTTGAACCACCCTGTTTCCCTTCCTTCCTTCTCCAATCAGGGCCAACCTGGCTGGTGGGTAAACAGGAACCAGACCACAGAGGGGTTCCACTTCCTCCACCTCATCCAGATTTACCTTGACTTTTGTGAGATTTCCGGTCTCTGGTCAGTCAAGGAGTCTTCTCTCCATTATCAACACACTTGAACTTATGGCAGTTTGTTGAGCTTTTCCTCACTTCCTTCCTCTCGTGGGGGAGGGTGGTTATGGTACACTCTGACAACCCCACAGTGGTTACTTATATCATCAAGCAAAGGGGCACCAAATCCAGGTCTCTGTGCTTTTAGACCCTAGATTTCCTTTTCTTGGTCCACAGTCACCACTTGGTGGTCTTAGCTTGCTATGTTCCTGGCACCCTGAATCTGGTTTTGATTATTTATCTTGACCCAATAAGATTCTCTCCACGGAGTGTTATGCTCTCAGATGGGGACTTGTATCGATTATTTCACCACCCACTGGAACAACATACTTCTTTCTTTTGGTCTCCCATTCCACACCCACAAGCTCTGGGAGTGGATGCATTCAGTCAAGATTGTAGTGGTCATCACACCTATGTTTACCCTCCTTTTCTGCTCCTTCCAAGAGTTCTATCCCTAATCCAAACCTCTCCATGTTTAGGCTTGCTGGTGGCTCCATTTTGGCCAGAGCAATCATGGTTTCCTCTACTCTGACCTTTTTTTGTAAAACCTTCCGTACCCCTCATCTCTATCTCAGTCTCTGCTCCATCAACCTCAGTCAGACATCGTTCATTCCAGATGTCACCACACTCCATCTTCATGCATGGCTTTTTTGTAAGGTCCATTGCCTCAGCTCAGGGACTGACTCCAGGTGTTGCATGTTTCCTTTCCAGATCCATGTCCATTTACCAGAGGTGATGGTCTACCTTCCACCTTTGGTCTCTTCAACATGGAGGAGATTATTCAGGCCAGAATGTGGACTACTCCCAATACCTTTGTTACTCATTAGCTGCATGATCTGGCTGTATCTTCCTCAGGTGGATATCGTCTCTCTCCTGTGGAGATTCTACACATGTCCATTTACCTTTGATTAGGGAAAGTCTTATTACATCATTTCATATAGTTTTTCTTTTTAGAGACCCTCTTTTTTACCACTGCTAATGGGATCCCACTCTGTGGCAGGAGTTGCCTGATCAGGTATGCTTTGCTTTAAACCTAAGCTATTTACTAGTAGTGCTATAACACTCACAGTGGTATGTACATATGTTTGTCAATATCCATCAGTTTTACTCAGTTGGGGATTGTCACTCATGGACTTTCATGAGTAAAGCAGAAGGGGATTTTTGCCAACCCCTTGATTGAATAAATCGGGGTGGTCTGCTTATCTAAATAGGGAATTGTGGATACCCATTGCACTTTCTCCAGTGTAATGTTCCTCCTGACTCCCCACCATGCTTACTTCCCCCCTTTCTCCCAGTGGAATAAGGGAGTCCTTACCAATTCCCAGTTGCTGGGGTAGTGGACCATGGAAGCTTTCTCCTGAGTAGACTTTTAAACTTTCCATATATCCACTCAGTGAGAAGAGGGCAAAGCTGGTTTCCCTCCTTCCATTTCACCTGAATGCTTATTCCCACATGGACAGTTGTTAGTTAGAGCAGGGCCAGCCTGTGTGGGATCCTCCTCGTAACACCAGATTCAGGATGACTCTGCCCTGTTCCTATGATTGTGTGCAGTAGAGGCCCCTTCCTTTTTGTTAATTCTGGTTACTGGTGGTTCCTTCCCTGCTCCTCCAGTGGAGTTTGGGGGACTTTGTCTGCCTCGTAATCCTGGCAACAGGACATACATATACTGTTCCTATGATTGAGCAAATGTTCCATATCTTCCTCATAATTTCAGATGCAGGATGTCTCTTTTCCTGCATTTATGTTTGGGTGAGTTAAGACTTCTGCTCTTAATATCAGTTAAAGATATTGCCATGTTCTTATGGGTGAGTTGAGGTAACAACGAGACCTCGTAGTTCTATGTCTATGGCAGTTATTTTGGTGTCAAGTTAATCGTTTAGAGAAAAAAACTATAAATCACCAAGAGTGTTTGAAGGTTAGCAATCCTCCTTTACCCTGCACAAGGTTAAAGATTGAAAGTTTGCAGAATTGTCATCATTCTAATTGTGCCAAGTGGGCGAAAATAATAATAAAAAGGATGCATATATATATATATATATACAGGTATACATACATGCACACATGATACTGAACTGATGGTAGTATTGAGGCAAGTGGGTGAAGGTGTATCAGAGGCAGGTTGTTCTTGCAGAAGAAACAACTCGAAAACGATTGTTGACAATGTATTGAAACAAACTGAAGCAAATGGCTTTTACAAGGCCTGTCGGGGATCAATGGATCCAAATGCCATGCCTAAGAATTTGGTGTGGGAGGAAACGGGAGTGCCCCAAGAAAATCCACTTTCACAAAAAAAAACCCACCCTATAATTCTGAATTTGGTTTGTGGTACTTTTTGCTCCTGCAGTAGTTTTATAAGTTGGTCTAGTTTTGGCCACATGCCAACTTCCTCTTCATAATTCAGGTTGCTTGACATATGACATTCTGTTTACTTATGGTTGGGGTTCATGTGTATATGTAACACAGTCCACATGCCCTAGCCACATTGTTAATGTTACTCTATATTAGTTTTCTCTGATTGATCCTCAATCTCCTAATGCTGAGGACAAGTGGTGAAACTTTGTCTGTAAGGTTGAGGTTGAGTACCTCCATAGCTACATCAGTTTTCTTTTTTACTATGGATTGCACTTCTCAGAATGAATTACAATTGTACATACCCCTTTTTTTCTGTCTGTATCAGGTTCATTTCTTTCTTCAAGGGTGAAGGGCCTTTCTGTTCCAGAAGTAGTGTGGTACTCATAATAAATAAACTTTGTAATCCGAAAATTGTTTAATCTCGTAGTCTAAGTTCAAGAGAGGATAAATTCAATCTACACTTTGATCGGTGTGTGTGTGTTGCTGGGTCATACAAGTTTCGTAGAATTCCACTCCTCATCACTAACCCTAAACACAAGTTAACCAAAAATAGATAAGCTGGACCAATACCATAGTGAAAAGTATCAAACACATTGCTGATGTGAAAGTGCTTTTTGGAATACTAAGTTTATATATTATACCTGCTATTGTACAGCTATATAATGTGAAGAACTGAATAGTGGCCAATGACACTTTTTCTTCACCTATTCAGTGTATAGATTTTTTCATAAAGCACGTTCACACCAACAGTATGTTAGTATGGTACTCCACATATGCTTCAGTTCATCTTGGAGCAAACCCATTCATTCTGGGTGGTTGCTTTCTGCTTGGTTGCAATGTTATGTGCCTACACTGGTGACCTCCACTTTTGCAATGTGGGATTCTAGCTTTGTGTAAGAGGAGGTAAGACTATCGGAAGTTAACATTTTCTTATGCTTAAAATCAATTTCTCAAAGGTACTTCCACCACTCTCCACTGCTGTTGTTATTCTTTTAGATCCTGCCAATTCTCAAAAGTGAGGATTGAGTGGAAATAGCAGAGTTGAGCTAGCTGCACCATATAGATGGCGCATTACTATTGGTGGAGAGTAATCACATGCTATCTACATGTTCAATAGTTGTACAGAATTGGTGGGGTATATAGACTGGTGCACTAAGCATAATTTTTTTTTAAAGAAATGCTTAGAGGGCAGAGAGAAAATCAAGATTGGTTTGTGTGAGAGGAAATAAGTACCTATCAGAAATACATTTTCAGTGTAAGAAAATGTTAACTTTCTTCTGTTTATGACATTTTAATCAGTGGATAAAGAGAACATTGTTCTGTTGTTGAAACTGTAGTAATTTGACAAGGAAAATGTTCTGTTGTTGAAGTTGTAGCAACTAGATAAGGAAATAATGCTTTTTTTGTTGGTGACATTGTAATCACTGGATAGAGAAAACATTGTTCTGTTGTTCAAATTGTAATCACTGGATAAAGAAAGCAGTGCTTTGTTTTGTTGATTATATTGTAATCACTAGATAAGGAAAGCATTACTTTGTTTTGTTGATTGTTTTGTAATCACTGGATAGGAAAACATTGCTTTGTTCTGTTGATGACATTGCAAAACTAGATATTTTAAAGTAAAATACAAAATGTTTTTAACTTTTCTAGTACAAGTGCAATTTTGTTTCCTCAAGTTCAAATAGATATACTTCATAACATTGGAATAACAGACCCTTGAGCATTTGTAATCACTTTTCTCCAATAACTTGTAGGAGCTACAGCCAATTCAAGTCGTGTGCTCCTTGACCATGACACATATCGTTCTGTTAGTCATGATTCTACAGATCATGTGCCTTACAGTCCCTCCCACTGGAGACATGCTCGAGACTGGAGTCGATATGGGATGGAGGAAGAAGGAAATGCTGATGATGTTCATACTCAGTTTGAGAGTTGTAATAGACAGGTACAAGTAGAGACCTTTATAAAACCATACTTGTGTTATATGTTGTTCAGTATTTCATTTGTGAATCATCTAAGAATTACTTTAGGGGATCAAATACCAGCTCTTCTTTAGTTGTATTTGTTTCTTTGTAAGTACTAGACCTTAGTATAATATGACACTGTACTAGTTAAGGGGAGTTTCAATAAGTTAGAAGTACATGTAAGTTTCTTTGTGAGAACAGGAACCTTAGTAACATCTGTTATCAAATTTGTCTAACAGCTACATCAAATTCACTGTATATTTAGTATTGTAATGTCTATTTAACCAAATCTATCTGGTAGCCACATATAACTTCACTCTGTGTTTGATGTTGTAATATCTGTTATCAAATCTGTATAGTAGCCACATTAAATTCACTGTATATTCAGTGTTGTAACATCTGGTAGCCACATATAAGTTCACTCTGTGCACAGAGTGAACTTATATGTGGCTACCAGATGTTACAACACTGAATATACAGTGAATTTAATGTGGCTACTATACAGATTTGATAACAGATATTACAACATCAAATTTGATGTTGTAATATTTGTTATCAAATCTATCTAGTAGCCACATTTAAGTTCATTCAGTGTTTGGTATTGTAACATCTGTTAACCAAATCTGTTTGGTAACTACATTTAAGCCTACTTTATTTTTGGTATTGTAAATCTATTAAATAAATATGTCTTGTAAGCACATATAAATTTACTCTATATTTTGTGTCTTTAGTATTTTTTAAACACATAACACAATATTAAAGCACCCTTTAAATTAATCTCTATGAATTGTTGTTGTTTTTTTTAGTTTTCTTCGGTTTAACATTTTAGAAACTATGGTAGATATATATATTCTACATCTGGAGAATTTAACAAAGATATGACTAGTTAATTTAACATATGTAAATTCTTTATGTGAATAGAAAAAATTATAAAAAGGTGGCGATAACTAGTTTGGCACTCAATTAAACAACCTTTTGACCTTAGACTTTCATTAAAACTGAGATACAGATTGTTTGTTTAATATATATATATATCTGCAGTAAATTCATGGTGCTGCTACACAATATTATTCATCAGAAGAAATAACTCTTCAAAACATTATTAATAATTCTAAGAAATAAGACAACCATGCTCTCATATTAAAGGTTGGTTCAAGGTCCATACGTAGGTGCAAAGTATTGTAAAACTGCCTTGATTTTGTTTCTCAAAATTTATCACTCGCTTTCTTTACATTACAGTTAATATTTGTTTTAATCTTTGTAATATGGAATTGATTTTCTTTAGGATTCTCAGGTATCGGTAGTTAGTACTGGAAGTGTCGGCAGTGTTGGCCCATACATCCGCTACTCACCTACCCCGAGTGGTTACTCTCGAGACCGGGATTCAGTAACTGAGGAAGTCTCTCTTGATGAGAGACTCTCACCAGAAGATACATGTAAGCCTAAGAAACTGAACGTCCTTCGCAAAATCCGTCGAAAACTCAGAAGGCATAAAAAACTTTAAGGACAAGTTTTATTTTACCTTCCTTGGAATAAAAAGACAGATGTCACATGCCCATAGATAACATGTATTTCCTTAATTGTATGTAATGTGTTATTGATACAGAATGATTGAAAGTAAAATTTAAAGAAAATGGGATAAAACAAAAATCAGTAATATTCAAACATCAATCTCCTCTGCATGACATACAACTGCAATATTGATTTGAAATAATTATTCGTTTTAATTCCCCTATGTTGATTTCCACTGAAATTTCTCATGTCTATAGAAGCATATGAATAGCCTCAGCCTTGCATTCTACAGTGCCCAGTGATTTTTAGTTCATATCTATGTATATCGTTGCTTTGCTACGTCTTTTGTGCTATATTCTTACAGTGCTTTTGATTTTCTGAGAAAAATTTGAAGAAGATGGCTTTGTTTCATCCATTTTTTATTATTTTTGCATCAGTGGTGATATGATTTTTGCTCCTTTTGCACTTTTTTGCTTTGCATGTTTTTGTCTGGCTTTTAACCTAGTTCCAGAATTGGCCTAACTTGCAGAAGATATTTCACCATACGAGTAAGCAACCAGTTAGTGATGCAGTTGCAGACTTTGAGTAAGTGTATTTATTGAAACATTTTGAAAATATAGCTGACTTTGTCTCATTTCTTGTTTTTTATATTTTTTTGTATGATCAATTTTGGCTAATACTTAAAATATGCCTTATATATTATGCACATATTTCAAGAGATAGTCCTCATTTTTCCATATGCATGTTTTGTAGTTGATTTTGTAATTTATTATATCAGTTTTGGTAATGTATTTTAAAGAATTTTATAGATTCTCATGCTTCTGTCATGAATACTTTTCCATTTTCTGTATCATATTTTTTTTATAAACCAGTTTAAGGTGCAATAACTAAAGTCATTACTTTGAATACAATGAAGTACCAATGTAACTTGCATGGTTTAAGTATTACAAAGGTGGCCAACCCACAGCATGGGTGCCATGAGAAGTAAAAACTGCTTGTTTTATTTAGAAAGTATCCCATACTTTTGCATATAGCTCTTATATTTTTGGGAGTATTCAAACATGCATATAGTATTAGAATTCATGACATATTATATAATATTTTATCTAATTTGTAAAGCTTTTTAATTTGACTGTTTGAACTTCCTCCTTCCCATTTCTATTGACTTTGTTCTTTTGGTCAGTGGCACCTACTCAAACTTCAAAACCTGAAACTGCTAAAAGAACTTTAACACCCTTGAAGCAGTATGATAATAATGTTATACACACACACATGCATATATATATATATATATATATATATATACATACACACACACACATACTACTAACTAACGTAAGTAAGTAAACGTACCCGGTCCGTTCGTCGTTACGGGTTTAGTTTAGGTTAGTATATTATTACTAGTATAGTACTACTT